GATTCTTTAAGCTTGCTTGCAAGAATTATACCAGCGGCCGGGTCAAGCGTACGGGTGTAGAAGTTGCGACCAGGAATAAAGTATGATACGCATGCCAAAGTAGGGAGCATTTCGTGGTTGAGGAGTCGTATGTATGTTCCCCGGAGCTTTTCGATTATGTCTAAATTACAGAAGTCATCCTTTGGTGACTCTATCCTCATTCGTAATTCTAGTCCGACGCCCCTTCTGAATTTCTCTTGACGGCTTCATCCTCATTAAAGGTTTCGAGAATCTGAAATAAATCGAGCATGGCAGTGGAGAATATTTGGTTGTTGAGGTCTTTATGCTGCTGGCAGTCATCTCCATCATAGGACGGCAACTCGATCATCAGGCTGATATCCTTAACAAAAGCCTTCCGGTGCGCCCCCATTCCCTGAAAGAGAGATGCAAATATTGACAGCTCGGTGTTTTTGAGGTTGAATCTTTGAAAGAAGAACCGCTCGACGGCGCGCTGCCAGCGTCTAGAAACCGTCAAGTACCTTAGGTAATCTGTTTTATATGAGTGATTGAGCCATTCAAAAATAGAGAGAAATATCTCCTCCGGGATGGTCTCTAAAGTCGCCATGGTATGTCTTGCGTTTGGCATCGAGTTGTGCCGGGGCTACTCTCAAGCACGCTGTTCCTGTGGCTTCTCCGTTAGTATCGTAGCATAGCTGGAGACGAGAAAGACTAACCGAGAAAGCAGGATCTGTTAGAGTATTCTGCCTCGACTATCTATCTATCCCACGATTTCGTTGAATCATGAATGTTTTCGTGGCAGAACGGGTGCAGTGAGATGTTCTTGTACTCTGGCCTTCCTGTCCCCTGTCTATATTTGTGGCCCTGGACAGTTAGCTAGTTAATTATTGCCATCTGGTGTATAATTATAAGGCCCGCAGGACAAGTTAGATGAAGGTAGAGTATGAGCTGTGTCAACATCAGTGACTTATAGGACAATAACATTCCATCTATTTATAACAAACTAGCTAATAGAGCCGCAACTTAAGGCTGAGTCTAAGATTAACGAATAAATATTTGGATCTCTGTCCAGCCATTATTAGCTACAGGAGCCGTAACAGCTTTCAGACCCTCGTCTACATATCAGAACACACCTCTGTTTTCAGCTCTTCGAATTTGGTGACAAGTCTGGCACCTTGAACGAACCGTAGTATGTATACGAGAATACGCGACATACAAATCTACCATATGGTGATACTCTACATTAACTAGTTACTAGATCCAAGTGTGATGAGAACATGAAAAGGATTGAAACTGCGATTCAAGTCAACGGGCAAACCAGTTAACCACCGCTATGATACTCGAGAGTACCACTGGTAGATGTAACTCCTTTGGGGATTTCTCGACATTGAAACAAGATGATTTCCTTGTTCTTACGCATCCTCAGCGTTTCAAGTCTGGCCTATACGGAGTATGATGGACTCACATTGGCCATTCATCTCTGGACAGCCTTTGTATACTCTCGTCGGAAGCATGGGATAGTGACTGATGTTTACACTGTCTAGGTATTAAGACACCGTAGTAAAGACGATCTCCATATTATCCACCCAACCTTCCATCTATTTATAAAAAGCCCGTCAGTGGCTGTAAAAACACTCGAGAGTGCATGTTATAACGTAATATCGTAGTTAGCAAGCTACTTGGCAGGTGTTCTCGACTTTTACCCCGGAAGTCCTAAATAAAAAGTCCAGATATCCCAGATCTCCACCGCAACAGCCAGCAACTTGCAAGTCGCAACGATCCCGTCGACAAGAGCTCATCTTCTCGTTGCCACGCAGAATAATCACTGAGCACACCGAGCGCACACCGAGCAAAACAGCAGAGAGAGATGGCCACCCGTCGCGGGGCGTCGAAGGAGACACAGCCCGAGATATCAAGCCCCAGACCTTCGCAGCCAACTGGTCCAGAATTCAGACAACTTCCGGGGTACGTTTGACCTCCCTCTCATCGATATATAAAGGCAACCGGTGGATCATGGATAGCTGACTGGCCTTGGAATTGAATAGTGGAGTCCTATGGAAGTTCATTCTGTACTCTGTCCTGGTCGTCTGCTGCCCTCTCGGAACATACTATGGGACCTTAAATAGGGTGTTTGAGGGTGAGATGAAGTCTCTTTTCTTCTTCTTCTTCTTCCTCTTCTATTCTCAAGGTCAGTGCTAATGGCGATATACAGGGAATAGCACGTATGCCGGCGCCGCAGCGGCTGGAGCAGCCAACATAGTCCTCATCGTGTACATCATTTTCGCCATCCGGGAAGACAACGAGATCGAGAAGAAGGCAGAAGAGGAGTTTAAGAAGAATAGATAATGGCGGACGGCAGGGGGGATGCTGATATCGTTATACTCTACGCCAGTTTTATATTGATATAATAGTGGGAGCTCTTAATGTCTGGATGATTCTTTTTCTACTTGCTTGAAGGTGCTGACATGAATTGCATTTTTTAAATATATACAGTACAACAAGCGTAGGGGTCGCAAAGCCTCATATACACCTAGTAACTAGTTAACAAAGGAGATGAAAGTTGAAGGTATCAAGTAAATTCGCCCATCCTTCCATTCAATACCGTACCATATCACCATAAAAGCTGCCGTAGATCGAGAAAGATAAAAGAAGCACGAAAAGAACAAACGAGCGTTGCGTCGGAGTCGGAAATTATCATATCGTTACGTCGACCGGAGAGAAGAAAAGAGCGAGAGGGAACGAATCGTAAACCAGGTATCATCAAGGCATGTATTCGGGCAGAAGAATAAACAAAAAACGAAGAGATTAAGTAGTCCTTGTCCCGTAAAACAAACAGTATATCTTTTTTTCTCTCTCTTTCCTCTTTAACCTGAGAGAGTGAGGTGGATGAAAAGGGAGTAGGTTTATCGTACATGACTAGCAGGTAGCCGTTCAGAACCTGCTGAGCCGTCGCTTAATCCAGCTCTTGCGCTTTTCTTCCTGGGGCATTACAGGAGAAGCAGAGGTGGCTGGAGCGGTAACTGGAGGAGGAGAAGTAGCGTTGGGCAAGTTCTTTCGTTGAACGCTAGCGGCTGGTTGCTGAGGTCTGTATAGACTCTCCTGAGGCCGCTGGTCCTGCGCGGGTTGACGATGGCCTATGAAGGAAGCCTGCGATTGTTCCAGCTGCAGGTCTGTCCCGAAGCCAGAAAAGCCGTAGTTATCAGCAGGAGGAGGCAGGTCTTCATACTTTGGCTGTCCCTGTGGTTGCTGCTGCTGCTGCTGCTGCTGCTGATGGAGTTGCTGCTGCAGTCTGTCCATGGAGCTATTGACTGAACTCGGGTCAGTCGAGTTCATCCAGTGGTCAACAGAGCGGTTGCCCGACCCTGAGGGAGAGTTGGAATTTGGGTTCATGTCGTTGTTGTTTTGATAAGGGGCTTGCGGGTAGTAGGAGTTTGATGGGTTGGGAATGTAGTTAAGGTCAGAATTCGTCCGCGGAGCAGGACGACGAGACGGCCGCTGGCTGTTGTAGTTGTTCTGGCCCACGTCCGAATTGCCGTATGCATCGACGTAGCTCTCTGGCCGTGACTGGTAGCCGCGGGATCCATAGTAGCTATCATGGCCACCTCGCTGGTAGTACTGGCCGTTGGATCGATCTGAAACATCAAACATGTGAGTAAACGTTGGAGCCTGGGGATGGGATTATGGAGACGGTAGGATGACGCACCTCCACCGAAGAAACTAGTTGGCCTGCTGTATCCGTTTGTACTTTCGTCTGCAGTGACTGGTTAGCATGGTAGAAGCGATGCTGGCTGTATCAAGTTATCTTACCCGGACGAGCATAGGACATGCGCCTGCCACCGTACGTGCCATCAATCGCAGCCTCGAACGACCTGATCGTATCCAGAGGTCGCTCGAAGCGATATCGAGTAGGATTAGACAGATCCGGTTCAGCTAGAGCCGGTTAGCTCTTCGTATGTCTATATATAATATACCAAAAGAAGACTCAACTGATGAGGTTTCCGAAGCGATCCTTGTGCTGTATACCTCGCAGCTGGCCGAGACTCGACTCCTGCAGGGCAATTGCGGCTGCGACAGTCAGTATATCGCCTATAAATCGAACGGTAGAGTGTATAACTGACAGGGCTGCGCCTCGCTCATGGCCAGCGTTGGGTCTGCGTGAGTGCGCATCTTGCGACTGGACGGCCTGTCCGATGTCGTATCTGAAGAGTCGGTCTTCTTCCTCGCATGCCCATACTGGTTCTGGCTCTGACTCTGCCCCTGAGTGGCAGACTTTTTCGACTTGTTGCTGGCGTAGCTGAGCACCCGCCCAAGTTTACCGGGCTTCTGGTCTGCCATGTTGTCTCTATCTCTCTCTTATCAAAAGGTATCCCTCCACAGGTAAACGAGCGTCTATATAGATCGATTGACCGGAAGAGGTGTCAAGAAGAGAAGACGAGCAGAATAAGACGATAAAGGATAAAGGGTCCTTGTAAGGTGGCGCCGTGCGACGCTGTGTAAGTAAGGGAGAGCCTTTTTCTGACGGCCGCTCTGGAGGACTTTTTTTTTTTCTTTGCGACTGAAGAATAGCGAACGAGAGAGTGCGAAGTGGGAAGATGTCTCGGAGAGTCTTGACCTATAATGCGGGTGGCTGGCCTAGCGTTCGGTTGTCAAGAGTGCCCGGTCGATGTACTTATATCGTCACTGGATTACATGTAGGATGAGATGTAACGAAGTATAAAAGTTGACCGGGCAGGCTGGGCGCTTCTCCACCAGCCACGCAGGCCCTGACATCATAGCCGGCCACTGATAGATATAAGACTACGAGTACGGAACAGACGGAGAAGATGGGTAGATGAGTAGTTGAGTAGATGACGGGTGGTATTTATTTTTAATCGTAATGGCACGGAGGGCAGCAAACACACAATATCTACCATCACATCACCAGCAGCGAGCATTCCCTTCTTCCGTTTGTTATAAAAGAAAAAGAAAAAGACATCCTGCATGCACATGCAGAGTGTCAACTGCCGGGACCAGGGCTCATCTCATCTCATCGCTGGAGAAGCTGGGCCGTCAGATAGATCAACGAAAAAAAAAGGTCGATTCAGTAAGTAGAAATGGGTCTGTCTTGCGCTCCGTAAACTTGAGTTCTGCTCCGCTCCTCCGCGATCCTCTCCCCCGGTCTACCCCATCGCCAACAACTGGATTCTAGACGGCTCGACCTAGATCGAGGATGGGTAAAGCATGACTCTGACAGACGCACCGAACGACTTGGGGGGTAGGTTGTGTCTGAACTGTGCGCGAACCACGCCAGAGTTTCCTTTTGACAGTCAGCATCCAACATCTAGGAAATCTATCTATATATATATATATATCTCTTCTTTACGCGGAAAGTAGACATACCGTGTGGCCGGGTGACTTTGCCCCAGATGACTCTGATCTTCGACCCTCTGACCTCGCGCTTGGCTCTGTAGACGAAAGCGACCTTCTTGCCGGAGTAGAAGCTGGTAACCTGTTAGACTGACTTCACGACCGACTTTCTCACTTTGAGATTGTCGACATCAGACTGAGGAACATACGTAGCGGCCTTGGAGTCCTCGACACCCTCGAGCTTGATGAGACTGTTGTAGCTCTGTCAGTCGTCTGGTCTGCGTGTTATCGTGTTATCCTGCAATTCGACTGCGCATACCTTGTGTTAGGGTTGGTGACGCGCTTTCCACGCTGGTAGCTCAGGTGTCGTCCCCTATAACGTATATCAGCATCCATCCCATCGCATGTCGCCGTTATTCTTCCATCAACTTGTCTCCATCAAGTCGTCCCGCCTTCCACCAACATCCCTCAATCCATCCTATTTTTCTAGCCTCGACTGCTTCTCCGCCTCTTCTTGTGTTCTCCTCTCTCTTCCCCATCTCAACTAAACCACTGGACAGGGGGAGCTTACTTGACATATACTACATGAGGTCAGCATCAATCATTCGATCAACATCCAAGTCGCAAGAACTGCTGAAAATACAAAGAATACTCACATCTGTGACCGTGATCCGAGGGCATCTTGACGACTGTATCCGCAAAAACGAGGAGAAGAAGGGATATGTTAACTCGTCAAGTCGTCGCTGTCGCTTCGTCGTTTTGTCTTCTTCGACTTTTTTCTTTTGTTGGTTTTCAAAAAGTCTGTAAAGTTTGTGCCTTGAACTGCGCTAAGCCTAAAACGGATATTAGCGAGCCCTAGTCATGTGATTCTTATCTCGGGCTATTTTTAGTTTTAAGCATATAACGAAGATGAAGATGAATGTAGTATATAGTAAGATACGATAGATGGTGATAATAGTTTGATTGAGAACCGCCGGCCTAGACTACCACTGACCACGAACCACATGCCATGCGCCGAAGATATAGAAGATAGAGATGAAGAAAGATGTGGAGAGTACAGGTAAATAAGAAATTAAGGAGTCGCGTAGACTAGACGGACAGACATATATAAACACGAAAGGAAAAACGTCAAAGGAAAGAAGAAGAAGAAGAAGAAGAAGAAGCGAACAAAAGACAGGGATTACTCGACCTTGAGCCGCTTGTCGACTGCGGCTTCGGTACTGGACTCGGGCTCCTTTCGCTTCCGATCTGCCTCGTCTGCGTCTCGGTTGGCGACACTGTTGCTGGTAGAGGCACTGGTGAATGGCTGCGAGTGATTCTGCAGGACGGGCGTGGAGAAGGTCAGCGGGCTGGGCAGCATGTTACTGTCTGGCCCTGAGCGGCCGAAGCCCCATTCGGGATAGAAGCTAGACGGGGAAGGAAGCAGCGTATCCGACACAAAGCGGCTGGGCAGGGCGGATATCGGGGTATCGATGTTGTTGTTGCTTGTGCTGCCGTTGTTGGCGTTCTGGCTAGATGAGGTGGGCGGGGGAGGCGGGCGGGCAAAGGGGTTGGGCGGCCCGTGGGCACCGGCGCTGAGCAAAGCAGAGGCAGAAGGGGAAGGAGGGGGTAGGACGACGGTGGAGTGGCCTGTCTCGGCGGGTGGTTTGCTGGTTGCGGCGGCGGCAGCGGTGGCCGGGTTAGTGCCTGTGGCTGGAGAGGAGCCGGCGGTGATGCTGCCTGCGTCCGACGTTTCGCTGGGGATCTGGACCTTGAGGACGGGCCGTTTGATGTTTGACTGGATGCTGTTTGTCCTGGAGGGAATGGACGAGACCGAATGTGTCCTATGCTGATGGTGCTGCTGCTGCTGCTGCTGTGGCTGTGGCTGCGGTGGGGGAGGCTGTCTGGGTTTGGTTTCCTTCTTGGGGGACTCTCCAAAGCCAAAGTGCTGTGCCAGGACGGACCCTCTGTCGTCGATGGGGGTAAAGATGGAGCGTGACTTGGTAGGCATCGGCTTGGGCTGCGGGGGGGGACTCCTGTCCACCTTTATCTGCTGCTGCTGCTGCTGATGTGGTTGATGGTGCTGTTCCTGGAAGGCTGGAGGCATGGACTGCCGCCTGTCCTGCATGTACTGCTGGGCCATGGGTTGATGCTGCGGTGGAGGAAGAGGTTGATGCGAGTAGTACGGTTGCTGATGCTGTTGCTGCTGCTGATGCTGCTGCGGGTGGTGCTGTTGATAGCCCTGAATGTAGGTGAACCCATTCTGCGCGTTGGCCGAGGGCTGGGGTGGAGGAGGAGGCGTGCCGTGATGATGATGCTGCTGCTGCTGGTGATGATGCATGGCCATCCGCTGTACGTGGTTACGCGACGAGGGCCGCGAGGGAGCCTGTCCCTGACCCGGCGGCGGCGCATGGGGGGCATCTATCGGCGGGGAGACAGAAGGAGGCGGCTGCTTGACGTGTGGATGCTGTGGAAGTTGCTGCTTTATGTACTGCTTCTGCTGCTGCTGCTGCTGCTGCTGCTGAAATGCGTGGTGAGGCATCTGGTCCTCTGGCGCGGGCGAGTCATCGTCCTCGTCGTCGTCGAGCGCGCCCTTCCCCAGAAAGTCCGCCGGCCCTTTATGCTCATGCGGTTGTCCATACTATCACAGTTAGCGTACACTGTCGATATATGATGGATGAGCATGATGACAAACATACGTATTGGTATCTGCCGAGGGTCTCCTGGATGTCGGCAGAGGAGAACTCGTAGAGCTTCTTGTTGTGGCCGAAGATGATGACGGTGACATCGACCGAGCAGAGGACGGAGAGCTCATGAGCCTTCTTGAAGAGCCCTCCCTTGCGTTTGAGAAAGGTGACGGAGCGGTTGCGATCGTCCTTGATGGCCTTGATCTCGATCTTGCGGCGGCCCATTTCGTCGCCTGGTCAGAGAACTCTCCCTCCCGGTACGCTGGTCGCCTGTCCGCTGTCGTCTCTCTCTCCTCCCTGCCCTATCACCTACCGTCTATCTATAGTATCAAAAAGTAGATAGTTATAGATAGTTAAGTTATATAAACACAAACTGTTGGACCTTTTTTTTTTTTCTATGTTTAGATGAAATTTCTATGAATAGAAAAAAAGAAGGAAAAAAGTTGCTAAAGATAGAATGCGTGGCAGTAGATGCGTGTCTATAGATGACTAATCAGGGAGCCCATACAGCTGGGACGTGGAAGTAAGTAAGGGGCCTACTGCCACGTGCTTATGTAAGAGGGGATGAAGAAGATGGTTAAAAAGACGTTGAAAAGACGGGAAAAGACGAGAAAAAGGACGAAGATATGCATAAAAGTAGGATCTTTATGTACAAAGATGTAGAAGCAGAAGGTGAAGAAAGGTGAAGAGAAAAGCAGCAGATGTGACTTGTTGCTTTTTCCTCTCCCGCCCGTCCAGCCTCTTCGATGGTGGTTTTTTTTTCGACTTCAACCCCTGAAAGTCTTTCTCGGTGGGCCTACTCTTTTTTTTTTTTTTCTTTACTCCCTCTTCTTCTTCTTCCTGTCATCGACTATTCTTTTTTATTTCTTCGGTGGACAGTCTTTTTGTTATCTTCTTCTTCTCACGCTCGTTAGTAAACTTGTTATATTTACTGTTGTCGTTGTTGCAGGGCTACGCTGTTATACTCCCTAATCGTTATCCAGGGGATGATAGGATGTCCTTCTTCTCGCGCGTCTTCCGCTCCAAGGACCCCTCGAAGAAGTCTGGCAGACTGAACGGCCTGGCAGTCGAGCCAGAGAAGTG